CATTGTGTACCCACCAGGTCAGATCTGAGATTTTTAGGAAGAAACTATACGCTAACTAGCAAACCGAAAACGAATGTCACCACCGGAATACCGCATGTAAGGGTAGGCTACGCGAGCAGCTTGTAGCCACACCCAGCTACAAGTAGGGTAATGTAAGGCTTGACGTAGATGAAGTTTACATGAAAATAATAGCTAGTACTGGGTTGGTAGCTGCTTGCAAAGCCGAAAGCCTTGTCTGATAGCCCAGGGTTCGTGAATTTTGCTATCAGGCGAAGGAATTCTGCCCGGCGCGGCTAAGTGAGGTTTTTCGGGGAATTCAAATTACAGGAGAAATGTAATCAATCTTAGCAAATGAAAATGACGTTTGGGCTAGTATATACTAGCTACAGCTTTTCCAAGTGGCAAGCTGTAAAACTGACTTTCTTTGTACCTTTTAACAGTTTTATTGGGCCTCGAACAAACATTCCCGCTTGTTCCAGTAAAGATTATCCCAACACAGGATGCTGAAGTCAGACAAATTTTTCATTGCTTATTTTGCAGGCATTATTGTCATCTGGCGCGGTTAAGATCAGCGCTTACGTAACACACGCCGTGTTCCCCAAAGAATCTTGGAAGCTGTTCACTGATTGTGAAGTCAAGTTTGACAAGTTTTTCATAACAGACTCCATTCCACACGCCGCTCATATTGCTCAACATCCTCCATTTAAGATCCTTTCCCTCTGCGATTCCATTTCTGAAGCTTTGTTGGGTTTCGACTTACTTCAGAGTTAAACAGAGTTAAACTTACTTCAGAGGTAAACCGTGCTACAACTTCGTCCACCCAATTTCTTTCAAATACACATTTTTTTTAAAACGCGTTCAATTGACCAGGTATCAGGATAAGACTAAATGGTTTTGTTAGATATTTATAGCCGCTGTAACTTCTGCCACTCTGGTGTACGTATAATACAGTAGACTCTCTGTTTACGGACACCTCTAAAAAACGGGCACCTAGAGTTGGTCCGTGCCTTTCTTTACTCCCTCTATTTGACTCTCTATAAGACGGACATCTCTCTAAGACGGACACTTGGTGCCGGTCCCATAGATGTCTGTCTTAGAGGGAGTTGAGTGTATTCGTAACGTCCCAGTGGCTCCAAAGTCCATTTATATTTCGGCACATGTTCAATTAAACATACCATTTAAACTATAATGCTTACACTAAAACACCACAGGAAGACCATCCCGCTTCATTGCGTTCCATGCTGAGGCCTAACAAGGACCAAGGAGCTGTCGATATCTGCCACTTGTCGGGTGAAATGGTTTCACACCACATTCATACGGAATTGGCTACATCGAAGAATTATGGCTCTGACGTCATTGTACGGCGTTCGTACGTCTTTACCCTCCAACATGTAAGGGATTTCAATTGCATGCCGCGTTAATTTTTTTGGCAGGATATTGCATGGAAAGGTGCGGTTTCTTGGCGGGAATCGCATGTCCAAATTGTAAGAGTAAGCGTTTATTGTTCCCTTCCACAAAAGCTTAATGTAAAAAGTTACTAGATTTATTGTTTTAAGAAAACGGTTAGTCTTTTTGTGGAAGCTACCCTTTTATAATTGGCTAAATTTTATTTTTAATTCAGACAGATTTGAATCTAACATTGGCAAGGAAATCGATATTAAAGCAATTTTAATCGTACCTTTCGTTACGACCGAGACAAAAAAAATCAGTTACTCAAGCATGCTTCTGCTGCCGGGGGGGAACGAAGTAGTTTTCTGGTTAATCCAGCCAGAGGTTGAAAAAATTGCACGTGAGCCGTGCCAAACATTGATGAACATGTGCAATCTCTGATTGGTTGAAAGGACAACACGCTTGTTTGTAAAAAAAGGTGCAATTCGTGTTAGATCTCGAATGTGTACTTTGAAATAGTTTATTTAGATAACATGACGCATATTGGCGAGGTTATAGTGAACAGTATAGGCCGCATACCGTAAAATTCCGAAAACACGTCCCTCCATGTATAAGCCCCTCCCAATATAAGCCCCCCAAACTCGTAACGCAAAAACCCTCCGTTAAATCGCCCCTCCAAATATAAGCCCCCCGGGGGGCTTGTACTTGGAAATTGCCCTCAAATACAAAGTAAAACAAAGCAAAAACGGTAAATTTCCTTCCAACTATAAGGCTAGTCCAATCGATTTTGAAACGCAAATTTCCCTCCTTAGATAAGCCCCTCCAAACATAAGCCCCTCAAAAAGGGCCTTTGAAAAATATAAGCCCCGGCGCTTATTTTCGGAATTTTACGGTAATTTAAAGAGTTTTTAAATTACCGAGTTTTTTAGTATTTTATCATTTACGGTCAAAGCGATTACAGTATTACATTTAGATAAAATTTATCAAAGTGAAGACTACTAGATAGCGTTTATTGTTTGTAGTGATTCCGTTTTTAAGGTGAATATTTATAATTTGTCACATCACACTCGATAGTTTTGAACATCAACTACTAGTACAATCTCGACCCCAGAACTCTTCTGCGCATGACGGTCAGGGAGGGAAGAGCTCTGGGGAACCCTGGAACAAGGCTGTCTCTGATTGGTTTCAGTGAAAAAAAGAAACAAATAAACAATAAACGTGTTTCTGAGTGGTCCAATCAAGTTCGCACGAGAGCGGGTGAACGCGTGGCATGTGAGCGGGTTTTCCCCTGGAAATCAGCGTTTCAGTAAAGAAGACGCCCGGCTGATTCTCGAAACAACATTTGCACGACTATTTAGGCAGAATAACTGGATTCTCCAATTTTACAATAATACATTAGCTACATATCGAAAACGCTGTGTAGCAGAATGACGATGACTATTACATTTTCTTGCCAAAATGACGCTGGTGACGAGCGCTTACTACTTAGTATTGAGAAAATCTCGTACTCGTAGTGGTACTCGTCTTAGATGGAGCAAAGAAAGGCTTCATTAAAGGAGAAGCGCTCGGGCTTTTTAAGAACTTATTATCAAAAATTTCGAAAATTGCCCTGATAGAAAGAGGCTACCTTGCCGCTATTGTAAGAAAGTACCTCTCTGAGGTAAAATTTGCCGATAAGAAAACAGTCCCTCAACAGAGAAACAAATCCACCCGTAAAAAAACTACTACCTTTTGTTACACAATACCACCCAGCTTAACCTAGCCTAACGAAAATACTAATGAGGAAATTGCACCTTATACAAAACCAACAACGGCTAAGATAAATCTTTAAGGAGCCTCCCCTCATATCATATCGCAAAGGAAATCATTGAGGACCTACTAGTTAGAGCGAAGCTCTGAAGGTCAGATGACGTCCTTTACGACCAAGTGCATTACTCCAGTCTTGTGTTGCCTGTATCCTGGTAACCTGAGATGTGTCAAGTTTGATTCCATGCTTTCTCGGTTAAGTCCGACCAAGGGAGTCCCAGGAGATCCCAGGGGATCGCATTCACGTCAAATTCCCCATCCCGCATCCCTTGTCATGACGCAAGTTAAAAAAGCCCTATATCACCTTCTCATCGATATCTCCCTACTCCCACAACATTTCATTTTCTCCCTCCTACCTACCTTTTTAACCCCGATTTCTCCCTCCTCCCTATTCTGTACCTCCTCTCTAGTAGTAGTGCACGCGCGTGAACCAGCGTCAAGTTGGCGGGAAAACGTCAGAGCGGTTGTCATTCTACAACGGGTTTAGCGAGAATGTCGTAGTGGCGAGATCAAGTTATCAAATGAAAGAAGTTTTATCCTTTTGCTATCGGAAGAGGGCTTCACCTCCTTCAGTATAAATAACCGTACTAACCTTTTGGTTAAAAGAAAGTAAAATGAAACGTTCCGGGGCGTCAGCTATTATTTGAGAACACGCACAATAATCTCGTACTCATACTTGTTCTCGTCCTCAAATCTAAAGCTCTCTATAGACCTTGTCACGGTTTTCGACGCCATCTTGACGAATAGGCAAACGTGTGAGAAATTGCAGTGTTTGTATGAGAATCTAATGTCGAATAATTTCCGTACAACGGCTGTTCTGAAAAAAATATCAATTGTAAACTAAAGCTACAAAGCAAAGGATTGTCCTAAAAAATTTGGGAGGCGTACCTGTGCTTAAATTTCTCCGGAAGCTTGCTTTCGATTTTTCATATATTTGTCTGTAATTTTCCCGGAACTTTCTTACAGACAAATGTATAGAAAATTTAAAAAGGTGGCTCTAGGTCTTCTATTGCATGTAACGCCCTCATTTTTTTTCAGTAGAATTCTTAGGAGAGAAGCTTTAGTTTACAAATCATATTTTGATCAGAACAGCCGTTCTACGGAAATTATTCGACATTAGATTCTCATACAAACACTGTAATTTTTCATGCGTTTGCCTACTCGTTAAGATGGCGTCGAAAACCGTGACAAGGTCTATTATAGTTAAACTGAAGCCCACTGATTTTCTAACCCCCAAAAAACTTACGAAAGCCCTAGGCCTATCTCTACAAGCATGAAAATCATGGATTACATTGTGTTCTTTACAAGTGTTTTTGTTTTTTTCAAGCTTAGGGACTGAACAGCAACAAAGTTATTCTGCGATGTATTAGAAACACCTGAAAGCCGGAGAGTACTCCCTGCCTGTCATATGTCGACAAAGCCAATTTTCAGCCGGCTAGAGAACACTTCGGAACCATTTGTGCCAAACTGTTCACATAACAACTGAAAGTCAGCCTCCCATATCTCACTATAAAAAGGTCGGTCAATTCTGTCATTAAAATTTATCACATGGAGGCATCTCAGTAGTCAACAAAGCGTTCGGCAATTTTAATATTATCATTTTTATTTTTAAATATTTCTTTTTACAATCTGTAAAAGTGACCATGAATTTTGTGAGCGCTGATTTTTAGGCGGGTTACAAGTTTTTAAATTTCTAATATGGCCATTCCAGAAGGTTTAAATACGGTTGTGTTCTCTACTGATTTGAAAAAGTTAGGTTGTATATAACGTTAAACATGCCTCAAATATCATTCAACCTCCTTCAATCAACGGATCCACAAGTTTAATGAATAAGAATCATTTGGAGACCCGAACCAATCTTCAGCGTCGTTTCCAAAGTCATATTCCTCTTCTTGCCCTTCACTAAAAGAAGCCTGGTTTGCTTCAGTTATTCCAATCCCGTGATCAGCACGTTCACAGCCTTTTCCTCCACCACCAATCATCATTACTGATCCATCTTTGCTATAGTGACACCAAAAGCTGATCTTGTTGCTGGTGGCGAGTCTGCCATTACACTCAGCCTGTTTAAATCCCTCTGTTGTATTGTACTGACCGCCATATTTCACGGTGCAGTTTCCCAGGCATCTGTAACTGGACCAAATCTTGCGATATCTAAAGACGCCGTAACTTGTGATTTTTGATCGAAATGTTTGTCCCTCCAAACAGTTCCCTGTGGTCTGCAACAGTGGCGCATGACTGGAGTCATCACTGCGCGTGATCTTAAACTCTCTACCGCTGACCAACCAAAAAGCTGGCGAGATCATGTCAGCATTGACTAACGGATCAGTTGTTGTTCCTACTGCAACAGTTTGGTCATACCACCAGTGTCCATTGTCTCGCATCCAGTTCTTGGTGTCGCTATTTGAAAATCTTGCTATAAGAGTCCAAGTGTCGTCACAGTACACCTGCAGAAGAATAATTCTTTTTAGTATATACTAAAACAGTGAATAGTGTCTTTCGGGCGCTCTGATTGGCTACTCAAGCAGTGAATATCCTGCAATATTCACTGATTCACCTCCAGTTCCTCCGAGCGAGCGACCCCAAACTCGCGTACGTTGCGAGCAAAATGCTTTCCCGGTTTGCTGCCGTAACAAACTAAGAAATTTCACAACCAATCAAGCAAGCTATTTCCGAAATACATGAAGGTGACGAAGTTCAGTTTGAAAGTTTTAACAGGTAAAGCTTTGTCTTTTTGACTTGAATAGTTATCGATAAAACCGGTGAAAAAGTTTTTGTTTACAAATGCAAATTAATCTTAAGTCTTGCGTTACTTCATTTAGTTGACTTGTTCATAAATAAGCTTAAGACTAAATTTAATAATCTTTTTTACAGAATTATTTTAAATACAAACAGAATTCACAACTCCTTTTGAAGAAACTTCCCCGCAAGAGCTAAACAAACGCCTTCAAAAGTTTTATTTGTCGCTAAGAAAAAGCGACGACCGCGGCCGTTCGGTCATCGCGCGCCAAAATTGTAATCGTTGGCAACCAGGGTGGTTGGCAACAGTAAACAGTGTCGGTGGGTAGTAGTGGATATTTACCTCGCCGCTTCGCGGCCTCGGTAAATAACCAATACTAGCCACCTCCACTTCGGTGAATAATTGTTATTTAGTTTTGGGGTTATAATTTCTTATTTTTTAGGAAGAATTCTTGCGAGCGTTAATGCTCAGGCACATTGCATTATTTTTTGAGTTGGGAATTTTTGAAAATTGGCTCGCTATACACGCAAAAATAGATCGTTCAGTAAAGTCACGTCACTTTTGCGAAAAGACTGATACTGAATTTTCTCCCGCTTAACGCCGGGCCTCCAATATCCCTAGGTAAAGGGAAGCCTGCCTTGGACTAGGGAAAGGGGGAAACCGGCCGGGCTCGCGAGTACCGAGTATATAATAATTTTCTTTGGGAAGCTAATCCTGAGCTCTTTGCATTTCCTTTTGTTTAACTGAAATCCGTCATCACTTGCTTGCGTTGCGAGATCGTCTACCACTTCCTGAAGACAACTCTCTTGGCCTTTATCTACCACCTCAGAGATTGTGGTATCATCCACATATTTCCACATATCTGCCTCTCCTGCATTCAAATCGATATCATTAATCACTATTAAGAAGAGTTACGGCCCTAAACGTTGTCCCCCGAGGAACACCGACTGGGATGTAACGCCACTCGGAGAAGCAATCCGGTGCCAGTTTAACCCTCTGTCTCCTATCCAATAGAAAGTCAGCAATCCAGTATAAGATGTGGTTTGGAATATCGTAATCTGAGAGGGCGCTTTCCATTTAGGAAAAAAACCCGGAAATTTCGGTGGGAGCAAAAGTGGAATTTCCGATTGGTAAAAAGTTGTTCCATTTGGTCCTAAACCCCGGTACGTCGCGGTGCCCGACGGTGGACCTGGAACTGGTACAAACTACGCGAAACGTAAATGGAACACGACATTCCGTTCGGAAATTCCAACCGGGGAAACGGGCCCACCTTTTTAGATTTTCTACTTTTTCTGGGAATTTTCCAGTGGGATGAACCGACGAAACTTGTTCCTTTTACCCCCGAACCGGAAATTCCGGAAATTTTGACTAAATGGAAAGCGCCCAGAGTTTACGCACTAAGATATTGTGATCAATGAGGTCCCCTTGCTTTCCCGTCTCCCACGAGAGTCCTTTGTTCTAGCGCGCCTGAATCGTAATTCCCTCTTCCCCAGTTCAAGAGCCTTCCTCCCTGGCTAAATCAACGAGGAACCTTGAAGGATACTTTCCTGGGCATTTATTTGTGTATAATGGCAAGCCTAGTTGTAATGAACAACGAATTACCAAACAGAAAAATAATAAACAAAATGAATAGACACACTGGAATAAATGATGATAAATAAATAAATAAATAAATAAATAAATAATAGACAGAAGTTTCCAACAAACGCTTTCTCTAGTAGGCCGAGTTTGAAATGCGCACCGTAATCGACAAAGTACCGTTGGTACCATATCGGATAACAAAATGGAGTTTAAGCTCGGTTCACCGGGTAATAACTTTGAAGTTTACCTTAAATTTGTTTGAATCAAAATTTAACTGGTAGATTCCAGGAGATGACACATCTTCGCATGAACGGCGGTGATCTAAACACAAGGAATAAGACCTCACGTTCGAACAAAAGTTTTGAATAATATCTCTATATATTTGAGAACATACAAACTCGTTGTCAGGGCTTTCCCTTACACCATTTTCAGAGGGAAAATCCCTTGGACGAGGTTGAAGAACATAGCTTCTTATCTTTTGGAAATTGACCAACCAGGCAATCGTAAGCTTGATGACCTTTGCTCCGACAGAGCTTGAGATACTAGCTGATGATATCCTTTAAACCTTCAAGCAAGCCCTAATAGCGATCAGGGCCCGGCTTCTTGAACGATACGTAAGAAAATCCAGGGTTTCGCTAGGTCTCAACCAAGTTTTGTTTGATGTAATGGAACATGTTACTGACACTAAATTACAAAAAAATGATGCCTTAACTTGTAGAACTTTAGTAGCAAAAGTTCTTTAGAAAGTTAAATACAATCGTGGATTAGAATTTAATCCTGGTTTAAGGCAAAGAAACTTTTGAAAACTCCGCCCAGCAACTCTTTATGTTATGTATCAATGGTCAGTAATAAGGAATAAAGACGTACGAACTTCACCAAAACAGCTCTAAAGTGCACAGTGATAACTTCCACTGACAAGTTAAGTGGTAGCCCTTTCATTTATCTATTAAGAGCACTGCATCCGTTTTAACTAATTTTTATAATTAATTTTATGAATAAATCCCTAAACCAGAAGTTTTCTTGTCCTTTTCGCTGCCCAAGATGAGCCTTTCAGCCCAGCCGGCTTTTGCGTCCTTTTACGGACCGAAATGAAGGATTTCCCTCCCCTCTTATATACCTGAATTAGTGAATTCCCTAATTTTTCATATACCTGAAGCCTGAAAAAACGTACCCTTTCGGGGCAGGCCTGCTTTCGGGCTTAGCCTCCCCGTATAGGCTATTTAAGGGAGTACCCCCTTCGGGGAAGTTGGGGGTGGAGGGGGAGGGGTAAAGGGAAAGACTTTTTCACTCACCTGAGCAAGTTTGTTCAATCTCCCTCTCGATTTCATGGAATATTTTTAGAACCCTTTCCCTTTCCCTCCTTATCTCGTCTTCTTCTTTGCCTATCGGCAGGTAACAAACTGAAAAAACAAAATAGCTTTTATTGTATAAATGCCCATGAAAAGATACTTTTGTCCAAGAAAATAAGAAAACCACATTATCATCATTGTCAAGATAGTCACAATCACAAATACAGTCATGGCCGCGATGATCAAATAATAAATCTTAATCTTGCTTAATCAGATCATAATCATCATCGTAATTATTATGATGTATGCTGACTGGCTCCAGTCCCCCAACTAATTAATGATTCTTCATAACCAACTGGCGATTGCCATTTTTCGAAGATGCGAGCAATATGCTATCGATTCGATGTTACATTTGATTGAAAACTAGGCTGGAAAATAGTGAACCAAAAAAATAAAAAAATAGCGTTCACGGCTATCCGGAAACGAGATAGCTGAATTTCTAAAACTGAACGGAAGAAATGCAAGAATACGCAAAACATATTGCTCGATGGATATTAAGGCCATTTATACGAGGAAAAATAAGACGCGTCTTAAATAAGACGCGAACTGTACCATTTACACGAGCTTGTCTTATCTAAGACAAGAACAGCTCGTATAAATGGTTCGCGTCTTATTTCTGTTCTTGACTCGTTTTCATGTGAACGTTGCCCGTAGCAACGGCAATCCAACGTGGCGCGCCAAAAACTTACGCATGCGTACTATGCGTTCGCGTCTTATGTAAGACGCGAAGGTCATTTATACGAAGTTTTTCTCGTCTTAGCTAAGACGCGTCTTATCTAAGAACAGGTGTTAAGGGCTGTTCTAAAATAAGACGCGTCTTAGCTAAGCCGCGTCTTATTTTAGACGAATTGTGCCGTTTATACGGAAAGTTTGCGTCTTGTTTAAGACGCGTCTTATGTAAGACGCGTTTTATTTTTCCTCGTATAAATGGCCCTATTATCTCCTTCTTGATTATTTAGTATCTGCAAAAAAAAAAAGAAGGTTCATATCCTGAAACCGTGCCGAGAAATAGGCCAGAGTTAAGTACTTAGAAATATTTTGCATGAATAATAAAACAGTGAATTCGGCTTTCGGATGATATGAAGATCAGAATTATGCTGATCTCAGAGGCTCGATCTCTCGCCTTGATCTGCAAAATTCTTCACATCATACTTATTAGTCTCATTCAATAATACTTTTTTTGGTTATAATTATATGGTATTTGAACTTTTCAAACAATTCCATCTGTAATAAACAATAGCAAAATTTAGCCTCTGGCCTCTTCCACAGACACCTCATCCGTCCCCTCGTCTTCCAAACGATCGTTTTACTAGGACCAGATGATTTCTTTCGCAATTTGGGGGATGGGGTTGATTGTTCCATTTTATTCTGTCCAAGATTGTAGTTTGTTATTGAAAAATACGATCATTTCATTTTTTACTTTAAATAAAATATTTAAATTTCTCAGTGGCAAAAATAATTACCTGGATTAACGTCCTGTGCCATCATCATCGTTGGTAATATGATTACGGAAATGAGGATCAGAGTTTTGATAACAGCCATCACCGACGGAAAATAATATCTATCAATAAATTTTAAAGGATTGTTTTCAGATAATTTAAATGGGTATAGAATATCTTACGCTACTGTAATTTACTAAGGAACAGTGTGCAATTATTGAAATAAATACTAGAAGTTCCCTTAATTACTGTAAAACTAGTGACCTCTATTAAGCGGTCGCAGTCACCTTTTTCAAGGAGGTCCCAACATGTTACTTTGTCTTCACTTCTATTAAGCCATTATCTTTGTGAAGATGTACCACGCTAGCCGTGCAACAGATCAGCACTGAGCATGGAATACAGTAGTCTGTTACTCTAGGTCTTGTGTTGACGCAAGAAGAAGTTGAAAGTACACCCTTTGCAAGGGGTCACTAGGCCTTGTTGTGTTCTAAGGGTATTTCGCTTCGTAACTATTTTCATTTTCTTGATACACTACTAGATTTGTCAAAATCTGTATTAAGCGGTCAGTTAGCCATTCCACAAGGGTGATCGTTTAATACAGGTTTTTCTGTACACTGAAATGACAAACAGAACTGTATTCAAAAGAATTAAACAAAGTTTGCCTTAGAACGCCGCCTTTATACTCCTTGAAACTAGAATCTGTAACTACAGAGAATTCTCCGAAGTAAGACATCGTTTTTGGGAATTTGTCTTTCTAAAATGAATTAATCTAACGCTAGTCTTCAGAACAGCTAACAACATGTGCCTGGAATTAAAGCAATTAAATTTAGATAGTCTTGGGTGAGGGTTAGGGTTAATATTAGGTCCTTTGAAAGAAACAAAAGGTTTATTCATGACTATCTATTAAGGCCATCCCCATAAAATGTTTCGTTTCCCATCGCCCGACCGACCCTTTTTTTTGGAAAAGAAAAAAAAAAATCGAGAATCACTTGTAAAGAAGCAAGTACTTTAATTCACAAGCTCATGCCAATCTTGTCTTATTAACACCAATTGTCTTAAATTATTATCGATACTTTGTTTTTGTAGCCTTTTTAGACAGTTGATAGTCCTGTTAATATACATCTTTTACCATCTGATTATATCTTGCAGACTAAACGTGAGATTTAATATGCATTCATCTGTTCATTCTTTTTTTTTTTTTTTTNAATGGTCCAGAGGAGATGTGTTTGTCGTTCGGAACATCAAAACCCGTCGAAAACCTCTGAAAAATGGGTTATTTTGATCGCGTTACAGTTTCGTTACACATTCTATAGACCGCAAACCAAGAGACTAAGGGCTCGCAAGATCGGCTTAGAGTATAAAATACGGAAAGGGAGGAAACAAATTTTGGGCCGATTTTCGAATCCCTGAAACTCAAATGGAATTTAATGAAATCGCCTGATTTTATAGTCTGCTACTCAGCCGTTTTTAGTGTCGTCACGCAATGCTCCTCCCCACTAACGGCTGCTGAAAACCGAACTACATTCCTTTCCCGTGATTAGCCAATTATAATTCAGCTCCCATTTTCTGGAAGGTGTTCGCGCCACGTTTGCGGTACTGTGACTCCTCCAATCACAGCTTTGCTTTTATCGGTGCCCCATGTGTGAATGACAGAATAATCAAAATCGTCGCGTGAAAACAAGCAATTAACTACAGTAGTGTTGTCGTAGTCGAGTCCTATTCAAAATTTGGGAGATAAGCAGCAGCAGCAAACAAGTCGAGCAAATTGCGATGCACAACATGGATGTGCTCATAAAGTTGCCAGGTATAGTTTCGGGAAATAGCTCATCCATAATTTCTAAGATTGCTTTTTGAATCAGTACCCTTGAGAGTTAAGTCTTCACAGGAACACAATGAGCACATCCGGCACATTTAAATTCTTCATTACAAATCAGTACATATGCACGTTAAATGAAGAACCAACCGATCCTGGTAAAAGTCTTCTAGGCCCATCAAACCTTTTTTTCACTCGGAACTTTCTTGACCGCTTAAAACAAACTTTTTTGCAAATTAACCTTTTCGTTGCTTGAATCTAAATTCTGCGACGATTGATTGATTTGTCGAAAACTGAGAAGCGTACTCGCTTCCTAGCGCCCTGCGGCTCACGTATTGTCAAATTTTTTTATACATGATTGGCTTGTTCGTTAGACCACAAACACAAAGGGAAAGGAATGTAGTTCGGTTTTCAGCAGCCGTTTGTGGGGAGGAGCGTTGCGTGACGACACTAAAAACGGCTGTGTAACAGAGTACTTATTTTACTAACCTGATCTAGAATTCTTATGTATTTGCCAAATACTGTAGGAAAACGGCATAAAAAAGCGTTCAAATTCATTTTCTGCGACCGAAATTTACTGCTTCGAGTTAGCGCTTCGTTCGCTGTGCACCGCAACAAATCACAGGCAGACCACCCTCTGTTAGTGGGGGCCGTTGTTGATTGAAATCTGAGCGACGATCTTTTGTTATTTATAGAAGAAATACATATGAACAATACGGCGGCTGTAATTTGTTCCAAAATGCAGAATTTAAAGCAAAATTTTCAATAAAAGTTTAAAGAAAATGTTAACTGAGTCATATGTCATGTTTTTTTTTGCCGTCCCGTGCTGTTTTAAGCGCTATTTTGCGAGATGAATATTTGACCTCGGCGGTTGATTTTCAAAATGGCGAACAACCAAAGTCGATCTGGGTCAGATAAGAAGTGAAAAAATCGTTTACAGTAGATTCATAAAGATCCCATTGGGCTAATTAATCGTGCTAAGCGACAGGTATAGACATTTTTCAAGGTGAGACTTTAAATAAGTAATTCATTTATTCACACGAAACTCCTCTGGACCCTGTGTAAACTTTGTACCGACACAACTTGCTTTAGAGCTTCATGATACTGCCTTCCAAGTTAATTTAAAACTTTTGAAAATAATCGTCTACTTCAGGTTCGCAACGACGACAGCGACGGCAACGAGAACGGCAAAATAGCAAACGGTTTAGACAGTAAAACAAGACTGACTTTGCGCGTGCATCACGCTTTTTTTGTACACTTCTTTGCCGTCACTGCACTACTTCGACGTGAAAATGCCTAATTTCACAACGACTTCCTCTTTCTCACGCTTTTCCTGTATTACAGTACTTTAGAAATGAACTCCAGAAAAATTTCACAACGACTTCCTCTTTCTCACGCTCTTCCTGTACTACAGTACTTTAGAAATGAACTCCAGAAAAATTTGCCAACATTTGACGAATTAAAAGAGATAAAATAAGCTCGATGAAGTTTGAAGCAGCGTGAATTCACTTTTTAAATGCCGTTTTTGTAGTCTTTGCCGTCGTTGCTGCTCCCTTATGACAAGCGTACCTTTAAAAGAGTTCTACTGTTCTTTCTTTTCTTCTCGGTAGATGTGCTATACTTGACGTTTAAGTTGTCCAGCAAAGGAAGTGTTCAACGCGGTCAAAGTTGTTTGCTTGAATAGTTTTCCTTTCTGTTCACCCAACTGCCAAATAAAGATTCAGAGCCAGAGCCAGAGTTATATGTTCAGCACCCAGAGAGTCCAAATTAATGTATACTTAGTTCGCTAGTTAAGTAGGAGCAAGAGCCATAATGACGGAAACGCGCAGTCTAGCCTTGGCATATGTGAATTTCACCAAAGTTATTTTTAGACCAATTAAACGCTCGAATTAATCGTCTGTTTCTTTTCATAATTAAGCGGACTTCTTCTCACGACTTTCTCACGAGGGAAACAGAATTTGAGTCCTCTTCGGACAAATCATCGCTTATCCTACCCATTATGGCTCTTGGTAGGAGTGTGCTCGGGGAATGTTTTTTTCTGGCAATCTTCACTCAAAGAAACTCTTGACGTGAAGGATTGTGGATCTTTGGAAGGACGCCGCATCTCTTCCTGCCGGGGAAGATAGAGTTAATTGAATTGTTTCTTATCTTATCTTATTCGTTTTAAGTAAAGCAGATATTTAATATTTTAATGTTTTTTCTTAATGGCCCGAACCTATTTATATGCGTGTTGGTTATGTTTTTGATTTGCGTTTTTCAGGATGAAAAATTTAACCGATTTGTATGATTTTTGGCATTGTCAATAAACAACAATGGAACTTTAAGAAAATGTTATTTATTTTCTTGTAGGTATAAAAACCTTTGAGATATCGCTATATATTAAAGCCGCATTTTTACGAAAAATATAAATGACTCCGAAATCCCACGACAGATTTTTCCCTAACTTCAGCAAATAAGCCTCAGAGCTTTCTAGTTTTACATCTGCAAGTTTGAAGGCAATCGTAACCGTAAAACTTGCTGCACAATATGCTGGTCAAATTTAACCTTAAAATCCTACGCTAACAGATTTGTGAAAGTTGACGCACAAATAGAGGAAGACTGCTGACAGACAATCTACTATCTGAAAGGAAATTCCTAACTAAAGCTTTATTGCAAGAAACAGAGTAATCAGAAACCTACGGCGAATACAAAAAGCACTTTAAGAAGAACAACTTCAAACTGAATGCGTGGTGATATTAAAGAACTTCTATTCATCAAACTTACTTTGTAGTTGTCCCTCTCTTTTAGAAACAAATCGTAACAAAGCAAAATATAGCTCCTACTGTACGAAAAACTGTCAAGCGTTTTTAGCGTCGCAGGTTCCCGTTTTGAAGAGAAATAAGGCTACCAACTTCAGTTTACTTCTAACCATCCATTTTTCAGCTGCAATGAAAACCCTTGTAATTGGTAATTTATTTACGCTTTTAAGACTTCCCATCACGTTCGCAGGGGCAATTTGCTGGTGGGGATAATGAGAAGAATAAGACGATTGTCATATTTGTCTTCACCTTTACAGCTATTTCGAAAAAAGGTTGTCGGAAAAAATGCACGCGACAATCCCGAAAGGCATTGTGGGTGGTTTTAAGTTCACTGTTCGTTAAAGAAATTTGAAAGAATTGGTACGAAAGGCCGTGGAAATGTGTTTGCGAGTGCTAAAGGAACGCAACAAAGGTAGGTTCGACAGGTACAGTCGTCAGAAATATCCCATATTACTTTTCGGGATTGTCGCGTGCACATTTTTCCGACAACCTTTCTCGAAATAGCTGTATTCCCAAGTGGTGATAATAGTAATAATGAGTCTTTATTTCATCAAAAGATAAAACTACATATCTTATGTTACAATAATACGGAAGATAAAAACCTATGATAAAAATATCTACATAAAACGCTCTGTATTAATTTTCGGGCGTGCGCAGCCTTTTGTCCTAAGATTATGTACATAAGTCTTCTGGACAGGAATGATATCTTTCAGTGGGTGGCAATCCCTTGATATTATTTTGTATAACTTAATAAATTTCAAGCAGATTTTATAACCAGATCTTGATCGGACTCTTCGCGTAAGTATGCAAATCCTTCTGGAAAATTCTCCCCATCTTATATCAAAACAGGAAAATGGGTTATTTGGTTTTAGTGCAGCAGTATCAAATGACGTTAAATAAAGTTTCCTACGTCCTGTTGTTGTGATTATTTTGACTGTGAAACCCACATCAAATGGAATACAGCTTTTATCGTTTTAACTGGTTTTCTTTTAAACGACAATCTAAAAGTTAAGGAAACAAAGATTTTTGTCGTTATCTCGAGAAGAATTTGAGTAAATGCTTTAAATTGCGTCGTTTTGAAATTAGAGACATGTTTCATACTGAAAGGGTAATTGTGTTGTCTTGCCACTGTTTTTTGTTGGCTCGTCAAAATCCTCGTCACTCGTTAAATGAACGCCAACTAAATTATTACTCTGCAGCATTTGTCTTAAAAGTCTGAAAAATAATAGCGCATGATCACAAAATGGGGGCCATGCGTGTCCTTTTTCATTCTGTATTAGGCTCCAAAGTACCCGGTAATGATTTTATAAAAACGCTTCATCATTTTTCCACGGCGAACTATTTTGATTCTGAACTTGAAGTTGCAAAAAAAGTTAGAGCGGACCCACGCCTTCCTTGGAACATTTTCACGTTCTCGACATCGGTTGTATGGAGGGTCATCACAATCTTTATTTGGCTTTCAACTTTGTAAATCCGCATTCGATTAATCTCTGTCTTATTGTTTATGGCTTCCATTCGCAGAAACAACGCAATCGTTAACGACATAGATAAAAAAGGAAAAAGCCAAGAACTTTTAGAGAAAATGTCGTTACACTGGACGATGATTTGCTTTGGGATTCCATTTTCATGCAGAGGAGCTTGAGTATGGTCAGAACTCTTTTCAGAACAGAGAAAATGTTACTTTTCTTATTCCCCTCTTCCGCTTTTCTCCTAGGAAAAGGCTTATTTAATATCTTGAGGTAAATACGTTATCGTATACTCAGCTGGATCAAATTTCTGACCTCGTGACAAAACTGGTGAGATTCTAGAGTACGCGTAGGGTTGGGGGAAGGGAGGGGGGGCGGTTGCGGTAAAGAGGAAAGTGGAACCTGGGCCCAATTGATTTCCCTCAAAGATCCTTCAAGATGTCCTCCCTTCTAAGCTGGATTATCAGCGGCTGGTCAGGGAATAAGCCCTTGTTCCTCTTCCTTTCTTTTCGGGGACGAAAAAAGACCGTATCCACCTTTGATTGCGAAAGTAATGGGTAAGGAGCCGAACAATTGGTGTCCTACGCACCTAACTATAAGATTTTGAGCCGATGTTTTGATAGTGATTGATAAACAAAATGAAGAACTTAGCAGATGCACTCACTGCTTGATCGGTGGGTAATGTTCTAGCCGTACGACCAAGTTTTGCTTCACTGAAATCAAACCGAACTGAGCAAATACATAGGGTTATGATCAACGAAAAAGATTCCATCCATTCGTCTTTAATGGGTAGGAATGAGATGGAGTAGGTCAAATTCAATTTTACTACAATAACTCTGAATAGGCCATTTTACGGTTATGTCTTCAGTGTCCTGCCCTCGGAAGCGAGGCCAGAGGTCACCTTTGCCTATTTTTCGCATGTTAGTTATGTAAATTATCAAGGTCACGGCCTGATCGCATGAGGAGAACACGATTTGACTTTAAAAAGAGGATGGTTCAGCCTAGCTTCTATTCAAAGACCAGGACAACAGAACACAAAACTGTAAAAAGGCCTATACGTAATGAGCTTGTGAATCTTCTGTGCATGCGCTGTTTATTCGCTTGGAGTGGGTCATTACGCTTAACTGCAAATTTAACAAAAGACAACAAATATCCATAAATTCAATAAGAACACCTGAAACACAAGAACTACTCAGATTCTTCAGTGGCTTAGTTATGAGCTGCAAATGGACAAGTTGTTGGACAGGTGCTGAATTAAAATCTGAAAAACTGATTAAGCTGTTTACCGGGCCTTTGATGAAGCTGAATAAAACTAAAACAACTAATTGGAATAGACATATCAGAAATCTTGCCTAGCTTTTAATCCTCCGTGTTTCGTGGGGAGGACAGTTTTCAGAGCAGAAAATTGGGTTATACGCAATTTGCAAAGCAAGCTTAGAATCAACGAATCCACAAGTTTAATGAGTAGGACTTGGATGGAGGATTGTTTGTTTGAGCGTCATACCCAAAGTCATATTCAATTTCATTGCTGCCATGTTCAACAAAAGAAGCATAGTCAGTTTCTTTAATTCCAATCCCATGATCAGCACGACTACAGCTACTTCCTCCTCCACCAATCATCATCACTGATCCATCACCACTATCCCAGTCACACCAGAAGCCGATCTTGTTGCTGCTTTGGATGTTGCTGCTGCACTCAGCCTGTTGAAACCCGTCTGTTGTCTTGTACTGTCCGCCATACTGAACCGTGCAGCTTCCAAGGCACCTGTCACTGGACCAAACCTTACCATTTCTAAAGTCGCCATAACTTGTGATTTTTGATCGAAATGTTTGTCCACCCAAACAGTTCCCTGTGGTCTGCAGTAGAGGCGTGTGACTGGAGTCATCACTGCGCGTGACCTTAAACTCTCTGCCGCTGACCAACCAGAAAGCTGGTGAGATCATATTATGCAAATCCTTCTGGAAAATTCTCCCCATCTTATATCAAAACAGGAAAATGGGTTATTTGGTTTTAGTGCAGCAGTATCAAATGACGTTAAATAAAGTTTCCTACGTCCTGTTGTTGTGATTATTTTGACTGTGAAACCCACATCAAATGGAATACAGCTTTTATCGTTTTAACTGGTTTTCTTTTAAACGACAATCTAAAAGTTAAGGAAACAAAGATTTTTGTCGTTATCTCGAGAAGAATTTGAGTAAATGCTTTAAATTGCGTCGTTTTGAAATTAGAGACATGTTTCATACTGAAAGGGTAATTGTGTTGTCTTGCCACTGTTTTTTGTTGGCTCGTCAAAATCCTCGTCACTCGTTAAATGAACGCCAACTAAATTATTACTCTGCAGCATTTGTCTTAAAAGTCTGAAAAATAATAGCGCATGATCACAAAATGGGGGCCATGCGTGTCCTTTTTCATTCTGTATTAGGCTCCAAAGTACCCGGTAATGATTTTATAAAAACGCTTCATCATTTTTCCACGGCGAACTATTTTGATTCTGAACTTGAAGTTGCAAAAAAAGTTAGAGCGGACCCACGCCTTCCTTGGAACATTTTCACGTTCTCGACATCGGTTGTATGGAGGGTCATCACAATCTTTATTTGGCTTTCAACTTTGTAAATCCGCATTCGATTAATCTCTGTCTTATTGTTTATGGCTTCCATTCGCAGAAACAACGCAATCGTTAACGACATAGATAAAAAAGGAAAAAGCCAAGAACTTTTAGAGAAAATGTCGTTACACTGGACGATGATTTGCTTTGGGATTCCATTTTCATGCAGAGGAGCTTGAGTATGGTCAGAACTCTTTTCAGAACAGAGAAAATGTTACTTTTCTTATTCCCCTCTTCCGCTTTTCTCCTAGGAAAAGGCTTATTTAATATCTTGAGGTAAATACGTTATCGTATACTCAGCTGGATCAAATTTCTGACCTCGTGACAAAACTGGTGAGATTCTAGAGTACGCGTAGGGTTGGGGGAAGGGAGGGGGGGCGGTTGCGGTAAAGAGGAAAGTGGAACCTGGGCCCAATTGATTTCCCTCAAAGATCCTTCAAGATGTCCTCCCTTCTAAGCTGGATTATCAGCGGCTGGTCAGGGAATAAGCCCTTGTTCCTCTTCCTTTCTTTTCGGGGACGAAAAAAGACCGTATCCACCTTTGATTGCGAAAGTAATGGGTAAGGAGCCGAACAATTGGTGTCCTACGCACCTAACTATAAGATTTTGAGCCGATGTTTTGATAGTGATTGATAAACAAAATGAAGAACTTAGCAGATGCACTCACTGCTTGATCGGTGGGTAATGTTCTAGCCGTACGACCAAGTTTTGCTTCACTGAAATCAAACCGAACTGAGCAAATACATAGGGTTATGATCAACGAAAAAGATTCCATCCATTCGTCTTTAATGGGTAGGAATGAGATGGAGTAGGTCAAATTCAATTTTACTACAATAACTCTGAATAGGCCATTTTACGGTTATGCCTTCATTGTCCTGCCCTCGGAAGCGAGGCCAGAGGTCACCTTTGCCTATTTTTCGCATGTTAGTCATGTAAATGATCATGCTCACGGCCTGATCGCATGAGGATAACACGATTTGACTTTAAAAAGAGGAAGGTCCAGCCTCGCTTCTATTCAAAGACCAGGACAACTGAACACAAAACTGTAAAATAGCCTGTATATGTAGCTTGTGAATCTTCTGTGCATGCGCTGTTTATTCGCTTGGAATGGGTCATTACGCTCAACTGCAAATTTAACAAAAGACAACAAATATCCATAAATTCAATAAGAACACCCGAAACATAAGAACTACTCAGATTCTTCAGTGGCTGAGTTCTGCGTTGTAATAGACAATATATTGGTGGTGAATTAAAATCTGAAAAATTGATTGTGGTATTTACCGGGCCTTTGATGAAGCTGAATAAAACTAAAACAATTAATTGGAATAGATATATCAGAAATCTTGCCTAACTCTTAATCCTCCGTATTTCGTGGGGAGGAAAGTTTTCAGAGCAGAAAATGGCTCTAAACGCATTTGAATTTACAAAGCAAGCTTAGAATCAACGGATCCACAAGTTTAATGAGTATGACTTGGTTGGAGGTGTCCTTGTATCAGCGTCATTTCCAAAGTCATATTCAGTTTCAGTGTAGCCAACTTCAACAAAAGAAGCATCCCCTGTTTCTGTTATTCCGATCCCGTGATCAGCACGATCACAGCCACTTCCTCCTCCACCAATCATCATCACTGATCCATCACCACCATCCCAGTCACACCAGAAACCGATCTTGTTGCTGCTTTGGATGTTGCTGCTGCACTCAGCCTGACCAAACCCGTGTGTTGTCTTGTACTGACCGCCATACTGAACCGTGCAGCTTCCTAGGCCCCTTTTACTGGACCAAACCTTGCCATTTCTAAAGTCGCCATAACTTGTTACTTTTGATCGAAATGTTTGTCCACCCAAACAGTTCCCTGTGGTCTGCAGTAGAGGCGTGTGACTGGAGTCATCACTGCGCGTGACCTTAAACTCTCTGCCGCTGACCAACCAGAAAGCTGGTGAGATCATATCCGTATTGACTGACGGATCAGTTGTTGTTCCCATGGAAGCATTTTGGTCATACCACCAGTGTCCATCGTCTCGCATCCAGTTCTTGGTGTCGCGATTTGAAAATCTGGCGATAAGAGTCCAGTGTGAACCTTGGGTTTTGACGTCACAGTACACCTGTGTAAAATGGCAACCTCGAATTAGATGAGATGAAATAGATGAATTTTTCAATTAATGATGTTATTAAGTTAATGTCGTTATTCTAAAAGAATAACAACAAGAACCAATTCTTGTTTTTTAGATTGCTTGCAGTCAGCCTTTTATCTTAAAATCTGTCCAGTTCTTATCCCGACCGGCACAAATGTAAACAACGACGTTTGACGAGAAAAGACTAGACTGCGAGAAGTCCCTTTTTTTACAAAGTTACATGTACTCCACGCGTCACCCATGGAAGCAAACGGCGAACCCGCGAGTCGTGATGAACGAAACTGCTCGCAGTTGACATCATTTTTTTTCAAGGCTTACCAACACTTAGTGTTAGTTAGCCTTGAAAAGGGTAAAATGGGCGTCCGGAATCGTGGAAAAAATTCAAGTTTTGTATTTTTAACCTTACCTGAAATTTGTTTGAGTTTACTTTTAAGTCATATGTTCCACCTGTTGGGGAATGTTTGGACACGGCAGCTTTGCAGGAATCTTAAAATTAAGGCAAACAACACAAATTAAACTATAAACGGCAGAAAAAAAATTGAACTTTATAATTAATCTCTCCTTTCTAAGTCTCTATAAACTATAATCTACTCATTGTTTTAGTTGATAAAAGAAAAGAGGTCGCAAAACCGAATTGTCCGGTAAAAGAGGCTTGACATTTTTTAGACTGTATATGAATGAACTTTTTGTGGGGAGGCGTGATGCCCTCGACGTTCGGATCTGGATGTCCGGGTATTGGCCTTGTCATTGCCTTGTTTTCTTAGACAAGAAACCTTGCTCCACTTTATCGTTCCCTTCACTCAGGCGCCCAGGTGGACAAATGGGTACGGGCGATATCATTGCTAAAGGTAATCAACTACCATAGCCATGAGCGGGTGGGGGCGGGGGTATAGCAACACTCCCAGTCATTCCGTGCTAAGGAAACCTGAAGTCAGCTGCTGCCTAATGGAATACTTAATTCGTATGCAGACTTTGCGATTCCTTTATAAACTTAGCAACTAAGCTGCAGTGTTTCAAGGAGCAACGCCCTTCAGAGAAAACTAATACCGTCGCAATCTCGCTCAAAAAACGACATCCCCATAATGAAGTACTAGCCCACCCGTTCAGTGGATTAAAATTTTACAAATCCAGTGTTATAATGAATACCAGGATTCCTTTGGATATTTAAAGCCATCACAGCAGTGACTGAACCAAGTTTGTTTTTAGCCGTACAAACGTATGTTCCAGTGTCTACAGCAGAGAAGTCTTGAATTGTCAATGTTCCGTTGGTAACACTGCTCCGTCCCCTTGGTAAAGCAACCAGAGGTCTTGTCCAGGTGATCACAGAGGGTGGATAACTAAAGGCTTCACAAGTTACTGATGCTACCGCTTCTTCTTCTATAACAAGAAATCGTTCTGGGACTCTGGTGAATCGCGGGCTAACTGTGAATTAGAAAGAAGTGAGTGACTTTATCAGTCGAATCTCAAAGACAATTCACTTTAATTCCTTTTGATTTATACTGGTTCACTTTGCGATTGTCACTTCCTCACATATTTCCTTTTTTTCGATTCACTATGTCTGTCTTACTGTTTTCCCTCGCTATAATAATTGTCAAGTGGCGTATATAGCATTTTTTCCTTTTTGAATTGTTGTTACTGTTTTCATCATTAATAGTATTAGTATGACAGATCAAAAGGAGTGATATAGAATATAGATAATGATGAAATACCAGGATTTTTCCTTTTACTAAAACATCATATCTTCATCGCGCACAGTGAAGATACTATTTTTATCCTTCATGTGTGAGGATATTGGTGTCGCCATGATTACTAATATGATTAGCCAATTACAAGAATTACAAGAGTTTCAAAAAGTTGTGTTTTATGTACGAATTTCATCAGTATCTATAAAATAAACAGAATATTACATGGCCGCTTGGGGATACGAATTTTATCTTCTCGTGCTGAAAGTATCTCTCACTCGCGGCCATGTAATATCTTAAGATAATTATTATTGTTTGAAGACTTGATCACGTAGTGATAGAATTGAACAACCGGCTCTTGATAAACCGTTTCTCTTGGTCAGTGTTCTCATTATTTTTTAGAAACTCTGCATTTTGATTTCCACCTTCACTGCAATCAAAACTGGAGATTATGTCACTTGATTTAGTTATTAAACAATTGATATCAGCAATGAATTCAAGAAACTAGCCAAGTTTCGCCGTGACTTGAGTTGAGTTCAAATGGAAAATAAAGAGTACCGGGTTCACATTTTTAAATAAACTAATTACCTTCAACAATAAGCTCAACAATTTTCTCATCTTGCCCCAGCATATTAACTGTAATGCATTTATACTCCCCAGAGTCATTGAATGTCGAGTGTATTATATCAAGCCTCCCGCCATGACCCAATTTCGCAATATTATTTCTCAGTGAGCCTTTCACTTTTGTCCAGGTCACCGTAGGCTTTGGGTTGCCACTGGCCGAGCAGTAAAACGTAGCAGAATGGTTCTCTCTCACTGTTTGTGTGTTAGGAGATACAACCGCTACTGGAAGAGAAATAGATTCTCCAGGATCACCCTTCAGTCCCATCATTCCTCTGGGCCCCACAGCACCTGTTGAGGTTATTGTAACATTATTCAACTTCAAGTGCTTCGCTGCTGGACGATATGATTCTTTATTATATCCGTAGGCGGACAATATGAAACGAATCTTGTTATCTAATTGGCTACCCGAGCAGGCAAGATGGGCGCGGGCAAGATGGGCCTATCTTGCCCGTTCGGGATTTCCGCAATGGTCCCGCAAGAAAAGTTCTCTTTTTGGCCATATAATAAAACCGTTATTGACCAAGCTTGTTTGTTTCTGATGGCTGCATATTGGTCTTGTTCTTTTTTGCGTTTTTATTGAACTCGAGTTCGTCTCGGCCACAACAACGCAAAGATGAACTTGGCCAATATCCAGCCATCTTGACCTCACGCTTGGTCAATAACGCGTATATATCAAAAGTGAATTCTTACATGAATAAGGAATTTAAGGCAGCATGTAAGGGCAATTAAAGAACAAGCAATTTTATTTGAATACTTGCAACTTTGGAGAAAGGACCCTCTAGACTTTGTTTTATAAGTTAGAAAAAGTGTTTAGCAAATGAATTTAAGCAAGGAGAAAATTCAAATACGTTAAACCTCGCCAGATTAGAAAGGCTTTCAAATACGAAGAGGCCTGTTTTGTTGTTAATTGCAGACAGCGAAAACCGTGCACAAGTTAAATCAAATTTTTCAATGGTTGTATTGAAAACTTGTTAATTTTCAAATTCTTCTCTTTGAACACTTTACCTTTCTGCCCTTTCTCTCCTTTTATTCCTGGACTTCCCATAATTCCTTGTTTACCATGTCTGCCGGAAGGACCCATAATGCCTTGCGCACCTTTCTTACCCTTGTAACCAGGCCTTCCTCGTCTTCCTCTGGAACCTCTACTTCCTTTTTCACCAGGAGGACCTGAGACGCAGACCTTTTTTGAAGGCTGACACCAGGATTCTGGTTTCAGTTGGCTTATTCTTATATTGATTTCACGGCGTACTCCCTCTATTGACAGCGAGCTGTTGCTTGCTGAGTTCATGCTGCGACGAATCCTTGTACTGGCCAGCATTTTATTGGAGTCTAACAGGAGTTGCAATAGAAACACAAAGAAAGTCGGTGGAGTAACAGGTTCGGACTCCATAGCATTGTGTTAGCTGAAAATTTTACATTTCTTGGCCAAGGCGATCTAATTCAATGCTTAACGACCTTGCCAGTCTTTCATTAGCCTGCCTGTATGTGAGCAAGCTCTCCATCTGGGGGAGTCGCGAGAAGTCACGCGACAGCCGCGCACGTGATAAGGGACACGAGTACCCCTCGCAGCTTCGCCGCTCGCTTCGTTCGCCTGCTCGCCCGCTCGCCATGATTGAAGAGCTTGCTCGCAGGCTTGTGTTTCATTTAAAAAATATCAACAAAAAGGGAAAGACAATTTAAAAGTAACGGACGGCAAAGCGCCTCATTTAGTACGAAATATGAAAGGAATTAATTTCTCACAGCTATATCCAGATCCAATGATTTCCCCCGTATCCAATTACTGTACCGCTAGAACAATGTTTCCTAGCTAAAAAGGTCTTGAGATTTATTTTTAAAGTAGCCTAGTCCCAGCCTAGTATCAAATGACGTTACATAAGTCTGTTTTCTACTTCCTGTTGTTGTGGCTCGGTGAGTTCAGTTTTAAAAATACCTATACTAATACTCTTTAAATGCAGTAAGCGACTCGAAGGCACGTCGGAAATTCAGGTTACTACAACGCCTGCTTTACCAGTTTCAAACAACAAAGGAGAAATTAATTAAACAATAAAATTATTTCTTTGTCTAAACCATTGCTATAGAGGCAGTGTGGAGTGTCTGAGACACAGGCTATGCGCAAGACCGGTTTAATTCTTTTTAAAAATTAAGGCCATTTAGATTATGGATCTTGTCTCGCGTGATTTGCTTTTGTCTTGACCGCATTCGCTGTATGGCTTTTTTCTCAAAAAATTCTCAGCATTTTTTTGATGCACGTGAGAGTTATTTCAGTGGTCAATAAGTCGTGTCAACAGAGGCACTACTACTTACATACATACATACATACATACATACATAAACTTTATTTATGTGTCTTGGAATGTCTAGCCGATGGGGTTAAGAACCCCTCTACTAATTGGGGACACCTAACAATCTAATATAGTTACCTAACAATATAATATAGTTAAAAACCTACTAACTATCAACTAATGAAATAATTGATTTAAAAAGATTAAGAATTACAAAGGATGCAATTGGAGCAATTGTCGTCGTCTATCATTACACCTAGATCAAATTTACGAATACAATTTTTGAAACTAAATAATGATGGGAGAGTTCTGATTTCGCTTGGTAGCTTATTCCACAACTTTGGTCCCAGGTAGGTGAGCGAGTTTTTACCATATTTATTGGTCCTAAATCTGGGAATGGCGAACTCTGCCGTCCTCAAGTTGTAGGGTGAGCAATGCGCGTGAAATAGCTCGGACATTTTGATGGGGCATAGTTTGTGTTTCACCTTATACATAAGGATAGCAATATCTTGCAGTCTTCTGTTCTGAAGAGTCGTTAGGTCACTTTTGTCCAGCAATGCTTGGTAGCTTGATTGCTTATCTAGGAAAACTGCGCGCAGTGCTCTTTCTTGGACCCGTTCAAGCTTTCTTTTGTCGGTGGCACTACAGAAATGCCAAGTCAGGTGGCAATAGGTTAAGTAAGGCAATATGGCTGATTTATAAAGAGTTAATTTAGCATTGGTAGGGACAAGTTTTTTAAGCCTTAACATTACACCTACCCCTTGACTCGCCTTCTTACATATTTCATTAATGTGAGTGTTAAAATTCAACTGTTTATCTATGGTGACCCATAGCAATTTAAGACAGTCAGAAGATTCGATGGTGTTTCCTTGAAAGCGTAATGGAGTGTTACTTTGCATTCACTCACGTATTTTCTGCCTTTTGTTAGCCCGTCAAAATTCTCCTCACTCGTTTCAAGAATGCAAACTTATTACATAGCAGCATTTGTCTAAAAATATTGAAAATATTAAAGAGCCTGATGGCTAGCAAAATGGTTACCGAATGGTCATGGTGCACAGGCCAGGAGCCCCTAACTACACTTATTACGCTTTCAGGCACTTATTTTTGCTTGGTTCAAGGCAATGTGTCGAAAGCTTCATTGTTTTTCTACGATTGGTTGTTTTTGTATTCTGAACTTAAAGGTGCAGAAAATGTAAGACGGCATGCCTACCTTGGGTCAATTTCACATCTTTGTCATCTGTTGCATGGAAGGTCTTCATAATCTTCATTTGGCTTTCAACTTTCGATATTCGCATTCCATTAATCTCCGTTTTGTTGTTGATTACCTCCATTCGCAAAAACAACGCAATCGTCAACAACATAGACAAAAAAGGGAAAAGCCAAAAACTTTTAACAAAAGTGTCGCTACGTTGGGACGATAATTTTTGAAGTTGGGATTCCATCTTTATGCATGCAAAGCAACTTTGACTCGACTATGTTAAGAGCAGTAACTTTACACCCCATATTCCGTTTCAACTTGAAATAGGTTTGTTTATCATCTGGGAATCAAAACAGTCAAACCTTGTTTATACGGACACTGGGGGTCATACATGTAGAAAGTGTCCGTATGAAGCAGGCTGAAATCAAGGGCTATATTCTCAAAGGGACAAAGCAAACTGTCCGTAATGATGAATTTTCCGTATTAAGCGGGTGTCCGTAAAACGGGGTTTCACATCTGAGTTAACGGTACTGGGTATTTCTACTGAATTTTAGCATCTGATTTCGTGACAAATGTTGATCTTGGTGTGATTGGCGGGAGTCCTCGTTGATCGCGTGAAAAGAGCGTGGAGGGTAGTGGAGGGAGGAATGGGGCCCAAGACCCTTTACCCCTTTTATTTTAGGCTTCCTCCCTTCACGAGGTCTTATGGGTTTTTTTATGACAACCGGAAGCCAGAGACATTTACAGTCTTTGGGCTGCCGGCTAGCCATAAAATCAGGGTTATTCCTAAAAACTATTTTCTAGCTAAAAGTGCACGTTTCAAAACTGTAGAGATAATTTCTCCGACCAATATAGCTTTTATTCAACCAAGAATAACTCTTATGATTAACCGTTACACAGCCTACAAAGCCAATGCCCACCACAAGACCGTGCCCAGACCCTGATTGAGGCCAGCTATTTTCTTGTCCTGCGATAAGAAGTTCACATTCCCTTGTGGCAAGTCTGAGTTTGGCTGAAGCAAATTTCCTACGCGGCCAGGCCTGCTACGCCGCAAACTATCCAGATCTGGGTAGTGACGCGTCATCTGTATGGAATTTCCGCACTCGTTTCTCAGACTTCATTTCGTGGAAAAACCAGCGGTGGCGTGGCAAAATATCGGCTGTTTTCTGAAGCTGGCAAATGTTGGCTAGTTTCAGTATCTATTTTTTTAATCTATTTCGAAAGTTGAGATGTTTGTTACGTTTGTTTATAGTATCAAAGATAATGCGGTTAAAAATATGTGGAATTGACTTTGGCCTTGCTGCCATTCAGCGGATCCATAAGTTTAATGAGTAGGATTGTGATGGTGTCGGTTTGTATGATGGATTAGCGGTATTTCCAAAGTCGTATTTATATTTAGTTCTAGAACGTTTGTTTATCGCAGTTATTCCAATCCCGTGATCAGCATGTGCACAGCCTGAACCTCCTCCACCAATCATCATGATAGATTTAAATGCGTATACTGGAGTTCGAGGTCCATAACTACACCAAAAGCCGATCTTGTTGCTGCCTTGGATGTTGCTACGACACTCAGCCTGTTGAAACCCGTCTGTTGTCTTATACTGACCGTCATATTGAACAGTGCAGCTTCCTAGGCACTTAGCTGTATGTCTGGACCAAATTTTGCCGTTTCTAAAGTCGCCATAACTTGTGATTTTTGATCGAAATGTTCGTCCACCCAAACAGTTCCCTGGTCTGCAATAGTGGCGTGTGACTGGAATCATCACTGCGCGTGATCCTAAACTCGCTGCCGCTCACCAACCAGAAAGCTGGTGAGATCATGTCCGTATTATTTGAAGGATCACTTGTTGTTCCTATGGTAACGTTTCGGTCATACCACCAAAGTCTATCATCATTTATCCAGGACACTTAATCAAAGTTAGAAAATCTTGCAATAAGAGTCCACGGTTTACCTTTGGGTGTGACGTCACAATAGGCCTGCAGATGAAGAGTTAATTTTTATTTATTAATTTTTTTTATTAATAATGGCCTATACGGGGAGGCTCCTCCTCCAGTAGGGGGTACCTATTACAGGCGTCAGGGTGGGAAATCTGTTATTTCAGTTGATGAAAGGCCCAAAAGAGGAAACAAATGCATTTTATTGTTGTAACACAGTCAGGGAAACGTTCTGGTTTTGTGATTTATCATTTAAAATACAGTGCCTTTACAAAAGTTAAAAGGGATGCAAAGTTGTAAAAATTGGTATGTGAAAAGGGGTACCATTTGTCATTATAAGGTATATGAAAGGGGGACCTTTTCTGTCAGAAATGGTGCGAGTAAAAAGGGAAAGGGGCTGGACCTCGGGGTGGAGCCTCCACGTATAAAACTTTATTGAGTACCCCCCCCCCCGTTTTTTTCCCCTAGGAAATAATCTTTTGATGTGAAAGCAGACCTAAATTGTGTACTGAAATATCTAGGCTGTCTGTGTCACCTGGTCAAGATGCACCATCGCTTTATGTACGCTTGAAAGAGTTTGCTTACGCACTCAAAATCAGAGATTTAACACTGAGAACCACACTGATCGGTAATCATGAAAAAGTCAATAGCCTCTAATAAAGCTTACCTCAAATTGTAGCGATTTCACTTTTAGCTGGTATATTCCATCTGTTGTAACAGCTTCACATGACGAGTGCTGAACTGAATGAAACAAAAAAAATAAAACACTTTTGGAAAAAGATTGGAATGCACCGCAATGTCATAGGTTGCTCACTGTTTATATTATCAGTATTTTGTTAGCCTCGATCTTTGCCAACTTTTGTGATATAGCTACTTTCTAAGCTCAATCGAGGTCAGCGAAACCTGGGTTGCATGGGCTGGTTTCTTTAAGGTTGGAAGGGAGAAATCTCAAGTAATATCTCGCGCGCATAGGGAGAAAAGGACTTCCTCTCGCGTGGCTTTTAAAAAAGCTAATAATAACGTTTTGCAAGATCGATTTTTCTGTTGCAGCTAATTCAGAGATAAATGTGTGAAATATAATGACATGTCTTTAGCAGATCTTTATAGTTGTCACGTCCTCTGTGATTGAAGCGAAATTTGAATGATGTAGCAGAGTTTTTTGGTCGCAAAAGAGCTAAACTTGTAATAAAGACTATTAGCTTTTAAGAATATATAGGACAAAAGGGAACCTTTAAACTAAAACTCTTAAAACAGGAACCTAAGACAACTGACATGAAACAATCACTGTACAACAACAACAAACTAAAAACATAGACACGTTTTACATGCATGAGCTATTTTGAATGCTTCAGTGTAACAGTATCGGCAATCTACTCTTTTAATCCTAGATTAACTGCTATGTTTTGTGCGAAATTGGGTATATAATGCGGCACATTAAAGAAAACGAGAACCGCTGCGCATAGCTAATTCGATCCTCATACTACAGATTCACTTTTCTGTCTTTCCTTCAGACTTCTGGCGCGAAATAAACAAATTGTTAAAGTACTATGAATATCAACTCACCAAACGTTGCTTTAATAGAGGGAAGACTTGAATGTTTCAAGGTTTCTTCATGGTTTCTTAAAATAATGAAGCTCATCGAATACGAACAGCTAAGAAATGCCACGATTTTCATCATTGTTGTAGATGGTTGAATGATCAAGTTTCACGAGATTGTCACGTGCGATTGTACTTTATAATTGAACAGTCTTTGAGTCTGACGACTTAATTCTAAAAGTGTTGTAAATTATTGCTTCTTAAAAGAAAAGAGCCTTCGCTTAGGCACCAGTTACAAAGCAAAAGATCTCTTTATACGTTCAAGTTTACCATCATTACTGTGAGAAGCCAGCATGAAATGTAGAATCACACAGTTTGCACGTGAAAGTGTCGGACTTTTCCCCCTTTCGTGGCTCGTACTTGAGGGAATTCGAGTTATCACGCAGTAATTCAGTAAACAGGATTATAAAAATAACTCAAGCACACAATTTACACGTGAGAGTGTTGGACTTTATCCCTTTTACGATTTCGTACGTACAATAACGCAAATTGTTTACTTTAAAATTTGCTCAAACGATTTTAAGAAATCTTCTCGGCTTTACAATATCTGCAATTAAATAATGCTTTACGCAACGTTAAGGTTGATTTTCCTTCCAAGAAAATTATCAAACTGCCGAAATATAGTCAGTTCTACTCATATCATGTTATTCCACTTAATAGAACAATTTATAAAATAACGAAGATAGTACGCGCGCTCTGATTGGCCGAGAGGAGTGTTTGCATGAGAGTATGTAAACATGGTTGTGGCGTCAAGATGTTTTGCTTTTCGCGCGCTAATCACGCAAGCACACATTTGAAAAAGTGTTCAAGTTCAAAACTCGACAAGTTTACTATATTTACCCATTCCTTCGTCGGCTGAAACTTGGAAAATCGTTACAAAGAAGATGTGTCAATTTTTTTTTCGCTTAAGCTGACATTTTAAGCGAGAAAAATCCGTATTTTGGATAGCATCTTTTTGCATAACAAGAACTGACTACGCGTGGAAGACTTCGTGTATAAGACTTTGCGACTGGTAAGAATTTCTCTTTTAATCAGGACCGTAACAAAGAGTTTGCGTTTTTTCTCGGGAGAGTTATTTTATAAAAGCAAAAGAACAATTTTTTCCTGTGTTTGCATAGCCTGATATAAACACTCGAGGGACTGGGAGAATTCTCGACAGTTATGCAAACCCTCGACTTCGTCTTGGGTTTGCATATTTGTCTCGAATTCTCCCAACCCCTCTTGTGTTTATATCAGGCTATGCAAACACGGAAAACGTTTTCTATTGCTTAAATCTAATTATTTTGTCAACCAGCTTCTTCCCATTTAATTCCCTGACGTTACTGTATCTACTTAAATTACGCAACTTTACTAAATAAATTACTTTTCAATAACTACAATGACTCTTAATGCACCTATCAATGTAAACCCCGTGGGGGGGAGTGCGGGCAAGGGGTGGGGATTTGACAAATTTTAAAATTTTTGGATCAAATTCCCCAGGGTGGGAAAAGAAAGGTCAATCAAAAGTGTCAAGAAAGACCCCACCCCGGGGGAAAAAATCTAAACAAACAATACTATAATAATATATAAAACGAATAAAAGAACATTTCAAAAGTACGTTCTTACTACTTTTATTTTTTTCTTACTACTTTTAACGTAAGCTCCGTTAAGTTACTCGCTGTAATTAAGTATTTTCTCTCTCCACTAGCATTTCTTATTTTGAACAACAAAATC